TCAATATATTTCAAGTATCACTTTTCATATATACCAAAAACACCCCTCTTTTTCTCATTTTTTTTCTTTTTCTAATCGTCATATATTAAAAATGAACATACACACACACACATACACACATACATGCAAATGACACTTTATAATTCACATATCTTTCAGGTGTATTTAAATGTCGTTGCATACACACACATACACACTAATCATACATACTATTGGGAAAGAGAAAAAAAGTAGATAATGAGATTAAATTAAAATTTTTCTTTTCATTTCTAATGTTGACATATTTATTTGTTTGGTGTGTGTATGTACTGCATATTATGGTTGTTCTATTAGTGACTTTTTCTTCTTCGTCTTCTTTTCCACTCTATTATTCAAACATTAACTGTCATACTTGCCTTTTTTTTCTTTTTTTTTTTTTCTCTTTTTAACAAAACAAAAGAAACGAACAAAACACTCACTGTGAACTACTACCTGAGACATGTTCAGCTTCTTAGAAGAATTATAATCAAAATATAATGTTTTCACAGTTTACTTGTATTAAACATACACATACACATAATAATTTTTATATTAATTATTTACCAATCATTTCAACATGCTCAAAATACAATCTTACTTATACTGATTTGTGAATTATTATAAATACAATTCTCAATTGTTCGAAAATTTTTTTAGGTTTTTATCAAAAATAAATGTGATTAACCATCCGTAAATGTCAAAATTGAATAATTTTTTCGAAATCTTTAACTAAATATGAACAGAAAAATATAGAAAACTTTAAATAGTAATAGAAAAATAGCAAACGACAATTATTATAATCAAGATAAAATAGAGTAGCATCTGAACAAGTAAAATATACCGTAAGGATGAAGTTATTGAAATATTTCTTCCATAGACAAAATAACTTATCCATTTTTACTCACATCATCGATCATTCATAACCATTTGAAAGTAAAAAACATTTAAAAATGGAAGATTTTATTTACTGAAACATGTTCTCTATACACCATCTCTTAAAGAATTTTTGTATGTATGTTAAGTGAGAAAGTGTTAAAGTATATAAAAATATGATTTTAATCCGTTAACACAATCCAGGTGGTATGAGAACACGTACAAATGAATAGAAATAGGTGAATAAGGTCAATCATCCCCCATGTTCGAAATATATATAGAATAAATAATTCTCGTTTTCCTTCGTTCTTTCTTTCTTATGTCTATATGTTTGTCATCAGTGCACAACAACACAACAGTCATATGCGTAATATAATCAAACAATCTTTCATGCAGGAATAAAAAAGTATTTGTGTATGTATGTGTATATTCCTCTCGTCTCGGATCAAATGAACTTTTGTCATAAGAACATAACATAGCAGTAAAAAATCGTTTACACATATTACACTGACATTTCTTCTTCTTCTTTCCATTATATCTAGTTTCAAGAATATTTTGACGAGTATATATACTATTATAACGACAGGACACGTACATATACACACACACTATATATATATATAAATGGCTTTAACTATATCTATTAGCTTCTGTATATATACGATTAACAATAAACTAAAAATCGGAGAAGAACAGACTACGTGAGAAGGTAAAGAGATATTTTCGATACAAATGTATCATATTACATTACTATGTTAATATAAAGAAAATTAATTAATGTCATAATTTTGAATCTTGTAGACTAAATTATTAAGAATATAATATACAAACAAATTATTTACTCATTGAAATAGTTTCAAATTATATCAGAACTAAATAACAACAATAACTTTCATAAACATTTTTAGATTCTATTTCAAGCTTCTTATACTTTCATTGTCAAGTGTTGGACACACACTTTTAATTTCAATAAAAATAAATTTAGAAAAACAGCAACAAGTACTCGTTGAATAATATCGTTCTAAAACACTACACACATGCTATTGAATAGTGACACACTATTATATTGTTTTACGTCTAGAATGATAGTAACTTCTTTATCTATAGATTAGAAAACAACAAGTTAACTTATACACGCAAATTAGCGGAATAGTTTTCATCATTCTATTAATCGAGAAAAATCAAAGAAAACTAATATAACAGTGACAAATACCATGTTTCTTAAAACCTTTTATAAATACTCAAAAAAAAAATAATTTCCTCAACAAGCCTTTTTAAAAAAAAAACACTCCATGTGAACAACACCCAAAGGCATTTGTTACGTACTTGTAGCAACTTTTAAGTATGTTTTCAATCTGTTAGAGTGCTTATTATTATTCAATTGTAGTAATATGTTATCTAAAATGATACAAAATAAACGATGATATTTAAGGCATTAGTCTGCAATATTCGATTTTTAGATATAGCAATAAATTACAATGACAAGACAATATTCCTTATCAAGTTTGTTATAAAATTTTTAGCTAGTTTCCGGTCTCATTCAAATCTTCAATAAAAACACCTTAAGTGTAACGACTTGACGCAGACCCTGTTTGCATATCAATCAGATAGATTTTATATTAGTAACAGACGGGAAGAAGAGAGAAAATTGATTAAAAAAAATTATGAACTGAGTGTCTCCTACTATTTCTCCGTTTTAATCTCACATTACAAAAAAAAAAGGAATTATTAAGTATATTAATACAACTAACAAATGGCAAAAAGTTTTAATCATTCCTATAAGTACCATTTAACAAGACCTTGCTTAGTGTGGTACTGAAGAACTCGTCAAAGTGACGGATTGAAAAGCCTTTTAAACTGAATCTCATTTGATAAACATTATTTTCTTTCGTAAAGAAGTTATTCAATAACTTTATTTTTTCAGCATTTCCTTCCTTCTGTAGAACATTTGGATAGAACATTAGAACATTTTGGATTTACTACAGAATAAAAACTATACTATTCGAACATACAATGGACATTTATAGTAGAGATTTATTATCATCGTAGCTTATCGGGCTCAGATAATCGAGTACTACTTCAATTTTGCATAAGTTTCGCAATACAAGGTCCTCTAGCTATGCACAGTTTTTGAAAAGTTTTTTAAGCTAATAAAATATTTGTTATTATTCGAATGTGATATACTATCTAAATCGATGCAACAAACGAAAGCATATAAGAAACTAGTTTGGAAAATTCCTTTTCTAAATAACAAGATAAGTTAGCGCTTAAAAAGAAAGAAATTTTGGCCCAATTTAACCCTATTTTTAAACGATACTCAGAAAAGTAATCAAAGAGAGCTAACTCTTGAACCATGTAATTTTCACACGAAAAATCTTTAAAAATAAAACAAAAATTAAATTTGCAAGAGCTAGATTGAGATGAAATGTGCACGTGAACATGACTTTTAAACAATATCATTCTAGTTTATTCAAAAACAAAACGTTTTTTGTACTAACTTGATGGATCGATCTCAGCTGAGGCCTGTAATCCGATAAGTGATAAAACTATGACCGCAATAGACGACTAATTACGATGCCGCATCAAAAAGCGTCCCCTTGAATCCTAGATCAAGAAATGTTCAAATATCTTAAGCGTTTTCAAGTAGTCGACACGAAAAAACTCTCCAGATTATCCAACATTCTGACCATCCAATGAATGAAGTCATTTTTCTAACGTTATCAGTTAATAGTCATCGAACTACCGACTATCATCTTACGGCATCATTCTGATACTAGCAAGTTGTAGGTAAATTACCTTGCCTCGAGATACACGTAAGGAGTAAAAGTTAGAGTAAGCTTGCAGAATGAGCGCGACTTTTCACGTTGATTATAGCGGTTTCTACTTTGCTTCCTTTCTGTTCTCTCCGAGTCTCCCTCTTTGCTCGTAAAGCCTGCTCTTACGTATCCTAAAGCACGGTGATCGGTTTAGGATATGGTAGACTAAACAATGGTGGGACTAAACATGAAAATTTCTGTCACCCATCTGTTTTCTTTCTCATTAGATGAAAAATTTAGTATGAACGAAATAAAGTCAATGAGAACAAGAGTAACAAGATATGCTGAGACTGAGTTCAGGTCTAACTTTTAGTCTCACCGTACTCTAACCCGCTGATCGACACGACGAAACAACCAAAATGTCGCCATATTGAAAGAGTTATAAACTCTGTTCTGTGACTATCCTTGATTGGTTCCTCATATGATTCATTCTGATGTTCTTGGCTGATTTGATCGTGCAATCAACATAGGCTGTCAGCCTGGTGTTGTAATCCAAAACTAATTGTGGTTGTTTCTCGCTAGCCATTAGTCGACAGCTATTTTTGATACCTGGCGAGAAAAAAACACTAATTGTTTGATTCGTCCAGGCGTCTGTCTGTTTACTAACACATACACTGGCTTTTTTATGCATACCTGTAGCGTGCACATGGGATAAATACTGGCAGGTTAATTTTGAATACAAAATTAGGAATTAACCTATAAGAATCAATAAACGTTTTCTCTCAGTTTTGAGGTGTGGTATCTAATGAACATCATTCTGAATTAATCCAAAATATGCAAAATTATACTCTAATGGTGATGTATCTTTATTCAAATGCTGACAGTAATAGTGATTGATAAATAAAGTGAAGTAGGCTACCATGGATCACGCGTCTGTGTCTTGCTTGCTTCTTGACTAATACAACAAAGAAAAGGTAAGAGCATATACTTGCTACGTGTATGTTATTTGTATGGAATCTGTGAAAGTCAAATCTAGCGTTCTATTCTTAAAACTAGTTTATTTACAAAAAGTGAGAGTCATAAAATGTTTCCGATTTGTCGTATCAATGAGTAGAACCAAACTACAAAAATGAAACAGGGAAAAATAAATATAAATAAAAATAAAAAGAAGCTAGAGTATGCAACATAGAGATAAGAAACAATGAAAATAAACACAATCCTTTTAAATTAATCTTACTTGATATGGCTTTGTGATATAATGATGGGAGTAGTTTAACTCTAACAGTAGTACTTTCTCTTAATTTTAAACCTGATCGTTTGAACATTGTTTGTTTATTCCTGTGTTTTTTCTAGATGACTACGCCCCGAATTTGCATTGTGGGTGGAGGTGTGCTAGGGGCAGCTGTTGCTTATCATTTATGTGAAGCTGGATGTACAAATATTGTGATTGTTGAACGGACTGGTATTGCTTGTGGTGCATCGGGAAGAGCAGGTAAGAAAATTTGCGCAATCGTCCGTCATAAATACATCTATTTGTTTTTGTTATAAGGTGGATTTTTGGCGAAAAATTGGTCTGATTCTAAATCTGTTGGTCAGTTATCCACGGCCAGTTTTCTCTTACATGAAAAAGTAGCCGAAAAACTTCGTCAAGAGTATAATATTGATGTGATGTACCGAAGAGTAACTACACTCAATATATCATTAAAAGAAAAAACAACAACAACGCCACAGAGAAAATCAGATACACTGCCAAAATGGGTGACCGGTGACGTGTTCAAAGAAGAGATTTTAGGAACAGAAGCAACAACGGCTCAAGTACATCCAGGGTGAGCGCTGATTACACTTAATGTATAATTCCATAATTTTCACTTGAATAGTATAACTATTCTTTCGTCTCAGATTTCAGAATCTTGACCTATTTATCGAACGATTGTTGTCGTGTAAGTCCTACTTATCGATTTCCTTGGAGGTATAGCTAAATAGTATTCTGCTGTCTTTCAAAAATAATGTTGATACACTTTTGATTTTTATACTGAATATTTTCTGTTTTGTTTTGTTTTAGTTTATTAACAAACGGTTTGGTTAGAGTGGTGGAAAGCAAAGGTGGTCGTGTTTTAATAGGCAAAGCGAATGGTTTCTTATTTGAGACAATCACAACGCATACCGAAAAAGATCATCATCACCAAACAGCTCCAGTTCAAGCGAGTAAACTGCTACTTGAAAATCAAGATCCCGTTGAAGCTGATATATTTATATTGACACTTGGACCATGGACGTATCAAGCAGCGACATGGTTCAAAGATAGTGTTTCATTTAAACCTAATATTTCACGTCAGCTTGATTGTATTCAAGGACTGAAAGCTCATTCGATTGTATTTAAGGGTAATCAACCAACCGAGCCATATGCCTTTTTTTTAAATTATGTAACAAGTGCAAATGGAATAATTGATCCAGAAATATATCCAAGGCCTAACGGCGATATTTATGGTAAGCTATACGTTTATAATTGATCCTCTTTTGGATATGTCGAAAATTGATGATATATCATTACTATCAATCATTTTCGCGCAACTTCGCGGTTATAAGAGTTCGTAATAATGTGTGCAACGTTTGAATGTTTCAGTATGTGGATTTGGTGAGCAAACAACACAAAATTTACCGGACGATGCAAATCATGTATCAATTAATGAAACAAGTTGTGACAAATTAAAAGAAATTGCAATACATGTATCGTCAACGCTAAAAGATGCTAACGTTGAAGTACGGCAAGCATGTTATCTTCCCATATCACCAGATGGCATACCGCTAATTGGAAAATTATACGGGTTAGAAAATGTTTACATTGCTACTGGTCATTCGTGTTGGGGTATTCTAAATTCACTGGAAACAGGTCATCAATTAGCACAGCTTATCATTAATGGACAAGTGTCGCCAATTTTGAATACATGTGATCCGGCCAGATTCAGTAAAGGTAGTTGAAAGAACTTGGAAAATAAAAAGTTATGCTTCAGTTACTGACTGGAAGATTAGTAGGCTTTTATACGAAGTGGTATGATGATAGCAACCATAATTATTCAAGCTATATATCTGTTTATCAGTTAATAAGACAAACACCATCTTATACATAGTAAAGTTAAGTGTTTCATTTGGGACTAGTTTCGTCTTTATCCACTGATGAATTATATTCGTTTTTTGAATAAAGGGGAGACTAGTCTCAAATGAAACATTTAAATTCACTATGTATAAGATAGTGTTAGTCTTATTATCGATTTTGAAATTCTTCATCATTAAAAATGATTCAAATGTTTATCCGTTGATGACGTTTATGCATAGATAATTCAATTTTTAGATGAACGGCTGCACTTTTCGAGAAGAGACTAGATTTAATATGATAATAATTTTGTTAAACAACTGTTCTTAATTTTTTTATTTTTTTTTTAATCCGATTTTAATAAAATTGAGGAGAAAAGTGATCTAAAATTCATCTAGAGCAATAAACACTTGAGAACGATACTTCAACCGGCAACCATTGCTGTCATTTGTTAAAACAGTACTTTAGCTAACATGCGATGTTACTAATATTATTTTTTATAATGAGTATCTTATTTGTATTCTTCACATTCTGCGCTATTCGATCGGAATATCATCGTTTATACTAGTATTTCGTAGGGTAGAATTCACACTGATATTTCAATGTTAAGCATTTGTTAAAAGATGGTACTCAAATCGTCGTCGTGTTTACTATACATATCCCTACCAGAGTTGTTGCACCATCCTGTCTATTTGTGTCAGAAATGACTATTGAAAAATGTTTGTTTTTTGAACACGATGGAGTGTGTGTATTTTCTGCAACTTTAATCCGTTTTGTTGAGTTCGTAGCTGCTTGAATTCTATCGAATTTTTCTTTGAATTTACTACCATGAATAATTACTTCAATGAATTTAATTAGTTTTCGTTTTGATAGTATTGTCACAACCAGAATCATTATAATAAAGAGTGATAATACGAGTATGAGTAGCTCATTCACATAATTTACCTTTTATTTGATCGTATTAGCATATTTGATTGATTTTTCTGTTCAATGTAGTTTATCTACATATACACATGAACCGAGAACTGCAAGCAACAACAAAAGTATATTCTAATGCTACTGAACAATTTCAATGATTTGAACAATATATATATATATATATACATATATCAAGCAAATGATAAATTTCATGTTAGATGACCGAAATTATCTGGATTGCATGCTATCCGATTATGTTGTCTTTACAAATTCTATGTATTTATCTATTAATAGAAGACTATGTTTTGTAGATAATCATAAGTAATAATGTAGTCGAAAAAAGAGTAGTATTAATTTATAATAATAAAAAAATGTTTTTAATCACCGATCATATTATTTATTTTATCAATCTTTTCCATATATAAAAAAAGTGAACTTGCAAGAGATTAGCACATTAGTTTTTCTGATCTATAATTAACGTATCCAAATGTGTCATACAGCTTATTGTTCGTAAATACTAACGTTAACTAACAACTATATAAAACATAAAGAGCCTTTTTTCTCACTTGAACTTTGCAATAACAAAAATCTAGCTGAAAAATACTACAATATAATTGTTTATAATCTAAAATTCATATATATATATAATATATATATATATATAACAACAAATTCAATAAAAGCATAAATAAACGCATAAAAATGAATGTAAAAAAAAAATGCTTGGATGATTTATTTATTCCTGAGCAAATTGATCAGCACGTAGAATGTGCCAAAATAATAAAAGAACAGCTATATCATTACTGATTAAAAAAAATCAGTAAATACCCGTATGTACACATTCAAACATTGAGTACATGTTAGAAAGTCAAATGTGACTCAAACGTACGAAACAGGACTTAACATATCTGAATTAATTTAACAGAATATCTAACAATAGACTCTTAATTTCTATTTTTGATTAAATTCACTGTCCATATATTGATTACGCCCGATTGATAACGAAATAATAAAAATAAAATCATGCAAAGTGCATAAATAATATATGCTACTGTTTTCAATTATATACATCGATAATCAATTAAAATTTTATGTTTTCTATTGTTTTTGTTCTTTCTCCAATCTTTCTTTTTCCTTTTGTAATTCATCTCGTTTTTGTTTTAATGCATCTAATTCTAATGTTGTTGGTATTTGAATATTTAAACTTGTAGCAATAGCTTTTATTGGATCATCATTCCAATCTTTGGCATTGTACATATCATTTAATGAACTACATACTGTTGATACAGCCGATCCGCCACCACTTGTGCGTAAATTTTGTTCAAATGATGATTGACGATCATCAGCATGTTGTAAATATTTATTAATGGCATCAGAATCCATAATAAATTAGTCACCAATAAATAAATAATATCTTTAAAAACAAAAAACATATAAAAAATTATTAACCTTATGGTCTGAGACGTTTCTTATGTTTAATATTTTCTCAAAAAATTTCTGCTTAGAAATCGTGTGTTTCATCAAGCTTTATTCAGCGAAAGTGTTCAATTATACTGAAATGATCCGAATAGTTTCCAGGCAGAGGTTTTTTCAAAAAACTCACTCACCTAAAGAACACCAAAGACAAAAATTTTCTTTGACTATTGTTTTCTAAAAATAGTTATCAAATATATCATTTGTTGTAGTTTTTCACGCAGATCGAGTATTTATTTTAAAACTGAATTGCTCAAAAGTGACAAATGTATTGAAATACTTATGAAAAACCTGCCAGGTCCCTAAATAAAATTTTCCGAAAGACATAAAAGGTCAAAGATTTTTTACCAATATTAGTTATAAAGGCATATTACTTTAAAATGTGAGGAATGTAGTTTGTTTCATTTTATAAGAAGGATTTTTCAAAAGCAGTCAAATTTGTTGAAAATCGAATTAATTTGACAAAAGCGATCTTAAAACTAGACACGGTCCTGATCTCAGACTATAGTTTAAAAATTCGATAGATCTTAAAATGCTGCTTTTAATGCACTATTTTAAGATCCGTTTTATTTCACACTATTTTCGGCTTAAAGCCGAAAATAATAACATGTGAAAATTTCACATGTTATTACTAGGTAGCATATTCGGTGAAAATGTCAGCTTCTTGTGGTTCAAAATGATTTATGCTGGATTAAATTTTCGATTAAAATCAACGGTGTCATCTGCGACTCTATGACGACTTATTAGAAATTTTTAAAGGAAATTTTTAAATAAAATAGGTTACCATAGTTGGAAAATGAAAGTTAGTATAATGTTGGTAGAAGAGCACTAGAATCATATTTTGCTATGGCAGAACGTGCTATAATATATCTCGTAAAAATGTCGTAAATAAAATATTGATACGTTCTGGTGCAAGCAAAAATTCCACGATAAAGGACTAACAATGTTAACATTTAATGTTAATTATAATTTCAGCTGAGGATGTTTTAGTGAAAACGCTTTTCGAACTTGACTTTGTTTCTGCTCTGAAAGAGACGAGAACTATTGAAAAATCATTAGAGTAGACTGGAGTAATTATAACCAGGCTCAAACGTTTTCTCACTATTTTGCGAATGGTTAAGCCATTTTTAGTCGGAGAAAATGGTATTATACAGGTAAATATGTATGACTTTCTGCTATCCACTGATGTAAAAATTGTCTGAAAATTCATCTTGTAGAGATTTTCAAGCTTTATCTAAATGATGAATTGTCAGTCAATCGACTCTAACGTTAATTACTTAGTGAGAACTTAGTAAAATCAAAAGAAACAGTCAGTTTTTTTGGTATATGCCGACTGAGATAATTATGACCACACTACTATTTTTCATGTGGGAATTATAACCACTTCGTGCAAATCACACGAAATAAACAACAAACAACTTTCATTGCCACTCAGAAGCTGACTTTGATAGTATTCCAAATCGCAAAAGTTATTCAGAACCTTATACTCTGCCATATATGCAAAAGTCCCAAAAAACGGATGAAAATTAATGAAATTAAAAACATCTCCAAAACTTTTTCTTAACTTTTTAAATATCATAAGTAAAGGATCTGACTGGCCAAGCTCTCAGAGCAATAGACTGAAAGAGAAAAAGTTCAAACTATCAAATTCCTCAAAATCTCATCTTTCTGCCACAGAAATCCGTACAAAAAAAGACTAGAATTAGGCTATCATATTTAGGACATACCGTGAAAGACCAAAGTTTTCTTTTGTACGAAACCATGTTGGTTTGAGGCAAAAAATTTTTTTTGAGCGACAACTGTAAAGGTTAGACTCTCTCCTTCGAAATGGAACGTCACACAGACTTGATAAACACTTAACTAGCAGCTAATTACAAGAACAGCTCAATTTTACCGTTGAAATATTCTCACCGAGCAGTGTATCACTTATAGCTCATAAACGGATTCAGATCAAAGGTCATGTAACGTCCTACCGAAAGAGAGAGTCTAACCTTTACAGTTGTCGCTTGAAAAAAAGTTTTTGCCTCAAACCGACATGATTTCATGCAAAAAACTTTTGGTCTTTCATGGCACACTTTCAAGGGCACTAATTAACAGTAATGAATTTTCAGACAGTTTTTACATCAGTGGATAGCTGGAAATCATATGTATCTACCTGTATAATACCATTTTTCTCCGACTAAAAATGGCTTAATCATTCGCAAAATAGTGAGAAAACGTTTGAGCCTGGTTATAATTATCCCAGTCTATTCTAGTCCTTCTAAGGATGTGATTTTAAACTATATAATAATAGATTAACTAGACTTAGTACTTATATATACAATGGTATTAAAGAGTACAGAACAAGAAAAGACAATTTTGTTGAGTAAAATAATTCAGTAAAGTCGATAAAAAATAGAAAGATTGCATCTCACCTTATCGAAATTTTCATGTAACACTCACTGCTAAAGCGTAAAATTCACACACTAATTCGTATTGTACTACGTTTCCTATAGAA